AGAAGTAGCTCCTATAGTAGCTTCATATATAGAAGAGAAGCTACAGTAAGGAGATGAGCACTGAGCCAGTGTTAAGGACAGAGATGAAACAGAACCTATAGTCACAGTAAAACCCGAAAGCTATGAGGACACATGATGAACTCATTAGTGGTTTATCACTATAGTGGAGGAAGTTTTTCCAATGATAGAGCTTTGAAATATTCTAACTGGGAAGATTTATGAGCCAAAAGAATTTAAAGTACAAAATGAAATGCGGGATCAAAAGCCCTACATTGCCTGTTTGACATGTACTAAAGAAAATGAAGCAGAATTTAGTCAAGTCAGCTTCATCACTTATTTCAACCACTTAGGCTCAACCCTGTAATTTACATTAATACAAAGGTATATGCATGTTTCTTTTGTTTTGGTTTAATGTTTATTTGATGTACATTTTAAAATGCAGGTAACATTAGGAATTCAGTTACTGTACAACAAAAAACAACTAGTGGATGCTCCCGTTTTTCTGTCTTAATCTCCCGTTGTTCATTCAATACAGCTTTCAGGGTAGGCCTGATCTCCACATGAACACACAGCTTACAACTACTTAGCTGACTTAAAAAGCATTTATCTCCAACTTGACTGGTTGAGACAGATAATCATTTAAGAACAGATGTAAGATTTGCAAGAAATTATTCATGGGGCATTTTTGAAGAATTTATAATAAATGTAATCCCTTGAATATATAAAGCAGCATCTGGTATGCAGGATCTGAGTTGGTCTGATCTCTTTCTATATGAAAGAGTGAAAGAAAAAGAAATCCATAGGGTGGATTTGTAAAGAAGGGGATGATCTTTGGAGATTGTTCAAATATAGTTATTGAGTGTGTCACTATTAGAATAATTAAACTCCGTATATAACTTTGGTTATCTTCTCATTGAACGATTGACTGGAGACTCTGTGAAGCCACCTTAAAGCAGGTGCTGTTCTTCTTAAGGAAGCTTAGGTCCTTCAGTGTTTGCAGGAAGATGCATTATATCGTTAATACTATATGGCTGTTTTGGAGAGTCTGATCATCTAGAACAGGGGTAGGCAGTTCCTGAGGCCCAATATCCTGCAAGATTCAACACACCTGAATCAGGTAAAGGAACTGACTGCATACCACAGAGGTAACTCAGCCATTTGAATCATGTGTGTTGGAGAAAGAATGAATCCAAACGTTGCAGGATACCATCCCCCATGAAATTGAATTCCACATGATTTTACAAAGAAGAATTCTTTATAAAATGAAGATCATTATGGGCAACTGTGAGCATGTTCTTCAGAAGACTTTAAAACATCAGCAGAGTGTCTTCAGTCAAACGTTTCTCCAGAACCGGGGCAAGATAAGTTTCTTACCTTATCAGGGAAAAAAAAACAAACAAACCAAAATCCAATATGGCCCTAACTTTGACCCAATAAAAGTGTCCTATGAACTCACTGGTACTCTATGGATCATTTTACTGTTACATGATAAGGGTGCTCAGACTCTAGTTCACAAACTGATTTCTACATATTTTTTTATAGTAGAGAGCAGTGTTCATAGTTTATCAATAACAACCAGTCTCTCAGGCCCTGAATAAGTCCCAGACACATGTCATTATGAACAGCATGTTATCCAGTCAGGGTGATGTTTGTTAACTAAGATACTCTGTTTTTAAGGCCTTTTCAGAAGGTTCCACTTCTTCCCTTTCAGTCCATCGGATAATTTACCCAAAGACTTTAGCATTACAGTATTGCAAATGAGTTTTGGCCTGAACTCTCCCATGAATTGCATGTTTGTCAGGAATCTCATTATTGTTGAATAATCAGCACTCAGCTCAAAGGTATAGTAGAGGAGTTTTTGTTTTCCGGGTGGATCAACAAAATAAGTGGTCCTTCTAATTGTCAATGAAATTGGTGATATGTTTATGTAAGGTCGTCCGACGTGCTAGTCCCCAAAGGTAGCCATCTTTTTCTGTGCATGCGTACTTTTAGGCATATATTTGTGATGTGCTACGGTTTCACCCAGTTCTTTGAAAATGGCCAAGGTTGTAAGAGAAAAAGTGTGTACGAAGTGTATGAGAAGAAGAGAAATGAAGTCATCCTTCCTACTCATTATTTCTACTCATGAGTCCTTGTCTAAGTCTGTTTTTTTTATCCGAGTGCTAAGCTTCAATGGTCTGCTAAGATTCCTTCTTTTGCTGCAGATGTATTACGCACAGAAGACATTTTTGGCTAATAAAAATTATGTAAAAAAAAAAAAAAAAGACTTAAGCATTGAAATTAAACACGGAAAATATCTGGAAGAGCAGCCTTATCTGAAATATTGTAGGCTGACTAAAGCTGTAATTTTGTTTTAACATAAATCTATTAATAAAGTAAAAACACTTTTTCACTTTGACTTCTCGATATTTCAGCACAAAATCTTTGTAAAATATTCATCATGATGGACCTTTAGCTCCAAGAAATCTCCATAAAATGGAACACTTCAGATGAAAAGCGCAACTTCACATTGGATTCCCATGTTTCATTGCAACTGTTCATGTATTATTAATGAGCTTGAAGTAGCTACTATAAGTGGATTATATGAAACCACATATCTGTCTGAGCTGCTTGATGCACTCCACAAATCAAGCGGTTAAGCAATACATGCACCCTGGAAAATAATACAAACCTTTAAATTACTAAATTGAAATTCCAAACCAAAGAAAAGCTTCAAAAATCTCACTGCAGTTGACTTCATATTGAGATGTCACTTTGAGTGAGATGCTGTGAACTCTCATGACTGAAATGGAAAAGCATGAAAATCCAAAAAGACAAGGGACCTGAGCATTTCACAGGCTCCAACAAAGACATGAATGAACTGAACCCCCCACCACCAGAAGAAAAACCTCAACTGTCTGTATGCAGAGAAGAAACAGCTCTCCGCCTAAGTGGCCATGCAGTCAGCTTTGGGAATATCAATAGCCAGTTTCAATAACATTTGTATCGACCTTCTCCTGCTGTCCAGGGCCCGGCTGGGTGGCCTTTTGTTTTTATGACCGGTACACACTCAGAGAGAAAAAAAATGTAAAAATACAGCCGACGTAGCAGTGAAAACCCGCTGAGGCGAAAAGCAGATCGAAAATCCAAAGAGAACAAATCAATTCTCATCAGATAAGGGACTGAATGCGAGGAAGATCAATCAGCAGAATGAGAGGGAGAAAAGACAAAACGGGTTTCTGCAGGTAGAATGTTACTGAATGTCAACAGTTTATGCATGAATAGTTTAAGATTTATAGGCAACTGCGTTAGACAACATCACTAACATTTATGGTCTGGAACTAGTTGAGGTTTGAAGGTAACCTAAAAGGCAGCAGTTTAATGAGTACCATTATTAGTAATAAAAATAACATTATGGTCTTCATTTTTACACTTTAAAATAAATTATGTCCTAATTTAATGTTTTAATTTGAGAAAAAAGTTTGTTTTAGTTAGAACGGCTCTCGTGCCCATTTGTTTAAATGGAACAAAGTTCTCAGCTGTCATGATAACAAAGACCAACTTCATATCCTCTATGAACATCATTGAAGAACATTCTCAGTTATACTGTACACTAATGGTGACAGTATGGGCCAGAAGCTTTACCTGTTTTTCCCCCTTAAGTGGATTCACACTTTTACCTTTAGTTTTCCCCAGTTTCCCTCCTACTGTAGTGTATGGAGGGAGAATCACTGAAATAAAAAACGAACAAAGTGTTCAAAAAAACATATCTCTATTTAAGTCTTTAGTTGTTTAGCCGGAAATATTTGGTGTAGCTTTTTATTTGAGTAATGTGTGGGGATGAGTGTAATGGTGCTACAAATTGTATCTGTACTCTGCACACATACTGTAGGTACAATTCCCTGGTGAGGAGGTAATTGAACAGAAGACTTCAACTCATTAAGAGAACCAAAATATTTGGAGTCTTTTAGGCCTTAAGCTTTTCGAATAGCATCTAACTTCTCAGCAATTTTAACACAGCATGAACTGAAGCCCAAACTTCAAAATAAGAGTCTAAGGGATAACGTACAGTAATCTGCACTCCACTTAACATAGTTAATAAAGCAGCTCAATCTATTCTCTACACTCATTAAAATACCACTCTGAATGCAGCCTGATGTGTGCGTTTAAGCCATAGAATTAAATTTGTCCGTAGCATCTAATAAATGGCAGAAGTTTCCCATTTGTTTATCTAATTGTTGGGCAACAGTAGACATATTTTTAAACAGTAAATTCTAGTACTGATGCTAAATCTTCATATTGTTACACCATTTAATGCAATCCTGAACTTTTTTTCTCTACCATTTTTAAAAATATATCTAACAAAGACATGTCATTGAAATCTCTAGATTTATTCTTCCACCATTAAAAGACAAGGAGTAATAAAGAGCCACATCAACAATGTAAAGGAGCAAAAATGGAAGTTACTCCAACTCCCAGAGTTTCCGAGGACTGATTTGATATACTGAGAGTGAGGTTTAATTGTGCGTGCAGCGAGGAAGACTGTAATGAGACCGACAGCAGGGAGACGGGTGGAGAAGCTGAATCAAGCAAGCGTAAAAGCAGGAGAGGTTTAAAAGAGAGCGAGGAAGGAGGTACTGAGGAGAGGGGAGTGTGGATATTACTCCCGCACAGGGAGTTGTGTAATGAAAATGTGCACAGCAAAAGCTAGAGGGGCAGCAGATAAGTGACCTTGAAAAATGTGTTTTTCTTGTATGATCAGTGCATCATATTTTTTGCCAAATGAAGGTGAATCAAAAAGGAACGACAGAACAGGGAGGAATAATTTACCGCTCGTTTGCTTGATGACTGTCAATCATGAGATGCTGCCTCTGAGAATGGATGTGCTTAATTTGAAAAAATGACCCACCATTTTGAACACACAGCGTAATAAAGCATCATTGCCATCTGCTCAGCATCTCATCATTCTGCAAAAACCGCATCATCTGCCTGGACAATGAGATTAAATTGTCTCCCCTCACCATTGCTGTTGATGCATTGCACTTGTGGCAGCTGAGTTCCCGGGCCACACTGCTTCCCATCATCAGGAACACACTTATCCAGGCTGACCAGCTGCCACTTGTAACAACTGGGTTCATCACATGGCATGGCCTCCACTAGGTGAGGGCAGCTTCCCGGGCCCCCTGTTGGTTCGTTGGTAATCTGCCGTTTCCTCAGTTTGAAACCTGCAGTTAGATAAAATTCATAAACTCTGTCATTCTAAAATTCGTTTTAGTTGGCATATAGAATTTTCATAATACAATTTTTTAATTCTCATAGACTTTAAAGTACATTTTAATGAAACTGAGGAATTGTTATGTTTTCTTTTTTATTTCTGTTATTTAAAATAAGACAATGCACATTAAAACCTGTAAATGTACCTAATTTAGTAGATCAACCAAATTCAACTGTAGTCGCAAACAGATTGATGAGAGAAATCAAAAAGACATTATACATAAGAGGAAAAAGAAAAACACTGATAAACAAAGCTTCATAGTGCTAATAGAGTTAATGTTCCTTTAAATTAAGACAGAATAAGGAAATAATCAGACATGCTTTCTTTGGATCTTTTTCTGTACACAGAAATAAAAGTCTTCTACATGCATTGGGACAATACAACTCAAGAGGATATGTGGTGAATTGTACAAGTATTGATAAAAATATTCCAAAGATGAAGACCTGTTAGACCCTCAAAGAGAATAAAAGGTAAGATAATTATTTAATTGAAATTAAATGTGTTGAAGAGATTTTTTTAATCAGTAAAATGTGGATCGAAAACATCCCAGTTTAGAAAAGTGTATTTCTTTAAATTCTCACAATATCTTCTCTGCTGTTAATTGACAGTATGCTATTGTACATTACTGTTACATGTTTTACACCAGTTTACAGGAGCAGCCATTCAAAATGAACATTTCCAGTCAAACGCCAGCCGAATGGCAGCCCGCTTCCCTCTAACTCCTTTCCTATTTGACCTGACTTAATAAAACATTCAGGTTTAGAATAGTCAGGTATTTTAGTCTCCATACTTAGAGTAATCTGATTAGTGACAAATAAAAGCAAAATAATATGTCCTTTTAGGTTGTCTAAATACTCCAATATTCTTGTTTGGGTTTTAGACCTCTGTAGAGTCTTATTAAGTGATCCTTTGCTCACCTGTTATTTTGTCAGCTGTCATATTAATATTTAGTTTACTACAGTGTGAGCTTGATTTTTTTTCAAATATCTAATAATGCACATGTTCTAATGAATTCAGTGGTATTTTATTGAAAAAAAAGGAAAAAAGATGGAAATGTAGCAGCACTGTGATTCCCAGTGATTTAGATGGTCATTGTTTCTGGAGACATTTAGAAACTATTTTTTCCTGGTTTTCCCTGAAGTTCAAAAGTAAAAGCCACTAAAAAAAGACTATATTCAAAGTTAAAAAATATGCAAATTTGTATTTTCTTTTTCTAAAGGCATTTTTGGCTGAAAAATTAATTACATCTTGCAAACAAAGTTTTATAAAACTGTTTGTGGTATTCCACCTCATTGTGAACTCTACTGTATTGGCTTGCCTCTTGGCCAGGTTTGCTTGATAACCTAGCCAAGAATAACCTTATTGAATTACATAATTAATGACAGACATACTGCTTATACGAATGTTTAAAAAAAAAAAAAAACATCCCTTTTAAAGGGCTAAAAATGCAGCTTTTTCCCACATCAATCAAAATCTTGCACAAAACGTGACAAATGCAGCCTTTAAAGTGATGCATCTGTATCACCGATTTACCTTTCTTTCCGGTCTGATCATCACAGTTTTCAAAGATGCATGGCCCCCAGGCACCCCAGGGTGATACCTCACAGTCAATGGGACAGGGGATCTGGCAGCGCTGGGATCTGTTTGGGATTGGGCCCCTGCACAGGTTGTTTTCCACTGGGCGGGAGGCTGTACAGGGTAAAAAAACGAAAAGGCAGTATAAGAAGCAGGCAAACAAGCTGACAAACTTGATATGATCAGGAAACAAAAGATCAGAAAATCATTGTTTACTTATTATTGACACAAGAAATTCCACTGAGTTTAGCTGAGAATCACGTTTAGAAGAAAGAAAGAAATCATGCCTGCAAGGTATACACTATTATTCCTCTGTTTGTTTCCCCCCCCCTCCCTGTTAGCATGTCAGAATGATAAATTAGCAATGAATATCTCATGGAGCACCTTGATAGCAACAAAAAACACGAAGGAACTCTGCTCTCTGACTCTCAGTGGAGATGCACAGAAAGGATATAATACAACACTAAAGGTGCAGGCAAACACAGAGGCTGTCTTCGCTCATGTTTATTTCATTAGGTGTAATTTGGCTTCCTTCCCCCTCCTGGTGCCATGTTGAATTTAGAACCTCCTTTACTTGAAGCCTCTGTTAAATGGAAGGTGGTTTGAAATCTCAGTGTGAAATTTCTACAAAAACAGATGTTACCTGCATTTAAACCACATAGTGCTGCTTTAAATATACAGTCAACTGAGCTACAGTAAACAAACTTGATCTGCTTGTTTTTTTCAAAGATACAGTACTGGCATATTAATTTACTTATATTTCCATACACACATTTTCAGTGTTCAGTTTCTTTACTGTGCATTTTTTTTCCCAGAACTGTTACATCAAGGGTTTTAGACACTGAGGGTTTTTCCATAGAAAGCCAAAGTAAAACCTTCTTTGAAAAAGGAGAGTAACAGTTACTTTCAAATCTTTGGAATAACAAAAGTTAGCATTAAAGCCTACATTTTTAGAAGTAGTGAGGTCCATTTTAAGTGCTGTATCCTGTTAATGGCATTTTTAAATTGTTGGTATATGTATCCATAATTAAATGGATCTTATGATTCATGCTGGGGGAAAGTTTGTGATCATATATGAAGTGGGGCGACAGCATTAGCCAGGAGGCTCTGTGGTCCAAAAGTGAACAGCCAATTCAGAGCTTGTGGGACTGTGTTAAGGGTAGTGCACATTACTCCTTGTTTAAAGGAAAATTGATTTTCTTCAATAATCTAATGATATTTCATACTTCAGGAATATAATTAAAATGAAAAAGACACTGTACTGGCTGCTACAGTCATGTCTGTGTAAGGAACTGTTCTGCTCAAGTTTTCCAGCTGTATTAGATGAAAAGAACAGAAAAAGATGTTTAAACAAAAGGATACTTAGGCTACTTAAGCAATAAGTTAATTTTGTGACAAACTAATTACCCCATAAAGACAACAGCTTGGACAAATTGGATAAATGGGATTAGGTGAAACTCTGTATGCAGTTAAGGCCAAAAGGGGAAATAACTGTTATCAGATTATTTTCATTTGACTAAGATGGGGGTTTTTTATATTGAAGTTAAAGCATTTGAAAAGGGGTATTAATTTAACCCCAAATATTGTTTTTATTTATGTGTTTATACAAAATTGATGTTAAAACAATCCATATTCCTCTAAACAAATCAGTGTTATAACTTTTGTTATAACATTTCCTGAGCATTTTTTTTTTCAGTTATAATTTTATTTTGCTTTGATGGATTTAAAGGGTTGGGGTCATAAAGTCTGTTTGCAATTACCCTAATCTAAAGTGTGCCCCATAGATTCTGCATTTGTTTACATTGATTGGGTGTTGGCCATACCAAGCCATTACAAGTAGAGAAGTTTAGGTCAGAAGAGTCATCCTGCCAAGATGTAAAGATTGCTGCCCTTTGAACAAACACTTGCTATGGTGAGAAATCGTTTATAGCAAACTGTAGGGAGCTGAAAAGAAATTAACTCTGATTGAAAAGGGTTTAGTTTTATACAAATCGCATTGTAGATTTTTTTTTATTTGTTATTAAAGCTAAATCATGTTCTAAATGCATAGTAAACAGAGACTATTAAATTAATTATTAAATTATGAAAATGTGCTTAAAAGTAAGGCATTTTTAGGTTTTTCTAATATGTTTTGATTGTTGGCATTAGAATTCCCGTTGCTGTCCAGATGAATATGCTCTGAAGATCAACCTTCAGGTTATCAGGCTACAGCCTTTCAAGGACATTCCTGTAAACTGTAAAAATAAAATCTGCACAACTTTGCCTTTAAATCACATTAGACCTACTTTTCAAGCTGTGCAAGGTCAAACTGAACATAAGCAACCATTAAGCAATGGTAAAGGGCCATAGTGAAAAAAAAAAAAGAGGTCTTACTGTAGGTAAAAGTTGATAATGCAATTGATTTTAAGATTATACCTATAAAACAAAGAACACATGGCACAGCAATTGAGAGCGAGAAGCTCTGGAGAAGACTGATCTGTACACTCGCAATTCAGTCATTGAACCCATTCCAAAGAAGTGACATAAACACTGATTATGATGCAGGAGACCAATCAAAGAGCCCCTGCACAACAAAAGGCTCCAAAATTCTAGAAAAACAAGGGGTGGTTATTTGATTTGCATCTGACTTGAAATGTGTGCATGAGGATGGACCTCAATGCTGCTTAAATACCAACTCTGATGTGAGCCAACAATAGACAAAGACTCCTGGCGAGGTGTCGAAATGTCTTCAAAACTCGGAGCCAAAGTGGGGTTGTCTCCCAATTTAAGCCTATTGTGGTTGCCATGACCCGGATGACTGAAAATTTATACAGGCTGATTTTAAGATTCCTTTTATATCAATATCAAAAGGATACTTAAACTGCATTTAAATGTAGAGATGATGTTTGTTATTTAAGTTAACACATTTCATGTCATCTTTCTAAAGGTGGCAAATAAAAATCCAGATAATCAAAGTTTCTATTGAAAGAGCTGTACGTTTTCACCATCAACTAGTTCATTCCAATGCAAGGAGCTGGTTCGGTGATTTAAATGTGTAATCTGTTCTAAAAATAAATACTTTTGATATGAAGGCTTTAGAGAAGGTAACAAATACAGATTCCCACACAAATCTTCAATCTTCTGTTTAAAGGTTAGGTGAAGGTGTGCCAGGAAAATCTGACATTTGAAGCAGTCATTTTGACGTAGGCGGGATTAAAGGTTCTTTAGTTAAAACAAACAACCACACTTTATCAAATATCCTCCACCTTAAAACCTCAAAGTTTAACTGATGTTGCAAAGAAGGTGTGAGTTCACATCAGCTAAAGCTGGTAAGTCATGAAAAATGCAAAACACAATTTTCATAGCACATTTTCCACTGCCTGGAAACAAGACAACATTTTATAAAAGGAAATAATTACCAGACCCAGGTAACAGAGTTGCTCTATAGGATTATTTATTCTACTTTGTTTATATGAACCACTTAATGTCATTTTAGCAAATAATTAATGACAAATCTAAGACAACATAAATGACCAAAGCAATGAAATGGTCATTTCAGAATTAAAAAAAAAAAAAATAAAAAAATTAGGTAGTTCTGATCCACTTATCAAATGCAGGACTATAGAACGCAGAATGTTTCTAAGAAATTATGCTTTAAAATACGTAAATTATTTCACAGCAGCATTTTGAAACAGTAACCCCTGCTTTTGTTACACCTCGGCTGGACTACTGTAACATAGTTTATTTTGGAGTGAGCCAGTCCTCCCTTACTTGTCTCCAGTTGGTGCAAAATGCACACATTTAACTGGAGTACGTAAAAGGGAGCAGATAACTCCCATTCTGGCTTCCCTCCATCTGCTCCCTGTGTATTTTGGAGTTTATTTCAAGACTGTTTTATTTGTTTTTAAATATTTAATTGGCTATGGCCCCTCCCTATCTGTCTGAGGTTTTTCACCACTACGCTCCCACGCGGGGGCCTCAAATCAGCTTACCTGCTGCTCCTGGAGGTACTGAGGTCCAAACAGAAGCTCAGAGGAGACAGAGCTCCCCTCCTCATCAGATAATCCTCTTCACTGACTATTTTTAAAACTCGTCTGAAAATCTATTTGTATTCTTTGGTATTCAACACAGCATGAGACTCTTTGTTGGTTTTATTTGCTTTAACTTAATTTATTCTGTTTATTTTATTCTTTTAAAATTTTATGTTGTTTTTATACAGTTTTACCTTACCTTGGTATGTACAGCACCTTGTGACAGTAGTAGCTGTTTTGAAGGGCTTTATAAATAAAGTGTAGTTGAAAAAAAAATTAAACTTTTTTTGTCTTTAAACTGTAGAATGTTTTTATTATAAATTATGTAGATATTGGTATCCAGCCACAACATCCCCATTTAATTTCCTTGAATTCTGATGAACTTCTGATGTAAATATGCTAACCGTTGTATGCTGCCCTTTTCAGCTTGTCCCATTAATAGTTTCTAGTACAGAGTTCGGGGCTTATATTAAACAATTTTTCACATACCAAGCCATAATACCTTGTTTTTAGAAAAGGGTAATGTATTTTTATGTCATACAGAATCTTTATATTTCTTTCTTTTCTTGTATTTTTTTCTTTCACTTTATGTAATTTGTGGGGTACAGAGGTTACCCATATACTGTAGCATCTGCTTTTTCAAGCCTGTTTTAAAATGTTTAATTTCATTTAAATTAAATTTGTTTTGTTGAAGATAAATGGCCATAATAAAGTTGAGGCACACATACGTATGTTTGCAGCTTTGGTGGCTTAAAAAATAGAAAATGACTAGGTTTTTGGTATACTTTATGTTGAACTCATTGTATAAATCATTTAACAAAACAATAAAAAATAATAATAATTGAGGCTTTGAAGTTACTGCCTGTAATCAGCAGATGACATCTTGGGTCTTCATCAACACCTGCTACTGTGAAAAGATTTGTTTTATTTTAATTACAAAACCTCTGAGGAAAACACAAGCCTGAATTGGCACCATCTGTTCTGTTAACTGGAACAGTATGTTTCAGTGGTATAGGAGAATAAACTCATGTCAAAACCAAAGTTTAGTTAAAGGCATCAGATGCTACATAAATATAGAGATATATTTCCAATGTAAATAGTTTT